GAAACATATTTTTTTTTGTTTCTGTGCCCCTCGCGAAAGGAAAAATAATATGTTTTTTCATTTACGAAAGGCACGGCCGTGCCTCTCGCATATGCAAATCCGTGCCTCTGGCGGAAGCAAAACAAAAAGAAAATGCACGCAAAAATATTTTTCAAAAACAATTCGTCCAAATGGTAAGAAAGACCAATGAAAAACAAAAAGCCAAAAAAAGTTTTAAAAGCCAAAAACACGTGCGGAAAAATAAAATAACAAAATTCGGAGGAAGTGCCCAAAGCACGACACGTGGCAGTGGCTCAGCGCGCCAAGTGGTGCATTCTCAGTCCATCCAAATGATCGTTGAGAGGCTTTCGAAGGAGTGCTCGTCAATAAGTTGATGTCAGAAAAATCACTTAGTTGGGGGCTCTTATTTGAGTCCTCCTATACGACGCAGCATGCGCTGCGAACGAAGCGGGGGCGCAACCCCCGCTGCCCCATTCGTGCCCTTCTGGGCCAGGCCATATGCGGCCGGGACACCGCCTATTTTTTTATTTTTTATTTTTTTCAATAATTCAGGATAACAAAAGGTTCTAAAATTCAGGAAGATTTGTTAAATTTAAATAATAGAATCATGATTTTATAAAAAAATACATGATTTCAAAAAGATGCTCGGGAACTCAAAAATGTTCACGAACTTGTAAAAAAAGTTCACAAATTAAAAAACGTACATGATTTCAGAAAATGTTCATCAATTCTAAAAAAGTTCACAAATTTGTAAAATAGTGTTCATGATTTCAAAAAATTATCTTGAGTCTAGAAAATGTTCATGATTCAAAAAATGTTCATGATTTCAATATATGTTCGTGAATTTGAAAATGCTCACGAATTTGTAAAAAATATTCATCATTTCAAAATAATTCTTGAATTTAAAAAAAATCATGATTCAAAAAAATATTCACAAATTTGAAAACAAGTTCATGATTGAAGAGAACGTTCATAAATTTATTAAAAAATGTTCACGGTTTAAAAAATATATACATGATTTAAGGAAGTGTTCACGAATTTGTAAAAAAATCATGATTAAAAATTCACATATGTAAAAAATGTTCATCATTTGTGAAAAATCATGATTTATGAAAGAAATTGCGAATTTATAAAATTATCGCAAATTGAAAAACTATAATAAAAGTGAAAACAGAAAAGAAAAGAAAAGAGAAAACAAAAAGAGTATAAAAAATAAAAAGGAAGAAAGAAAGAAAAAACCGAAAGAAAAAAACAGAAAAGCCCGATTCAGGGAAGGTTCCAGAACCTTCCCAAAACTGGTTTGGGGTGTAACCCTGAAATGGGCC